GTTTCCTTATCTAAAGGAAGGTGAAAAAGCAAGTGTCTTCATCAGTGAACAGTAATTTCTGTTAAACATTTGGAGGAGTTCTTTCTGTTTGGGACATGATTTCATTTCAAATGACCTCTTATTTCCTAAGTTGTGCACTAAGTGTGGCAGTGTCTTGCTTCACTAGAGGTGGCATCTTCTATTTTCCTGAGCCCTCGCTTTCATTGTACATGTAAAGCTCTGTGTTAAGTAGATTAATAAATAAATAAAAAATTAACCCCCAATTTAATCCAGAAATCTTCCAGGTTCATGTAATTTAATACTTTTTGTCATTGTTGCACACATCCACAAAAATGTATGGTAATTTTTATATCAATGCCGGTTACTGAAGGTGCTGTTTGAAAATGCTGTTTAGTGAAATCAGGGAGGTTAGGCAAAGTCAGGCAGGGTAAGCAGGTACTTGAAGCTTAATCACTTGAACAAAGCTAGGCAAACACCAGTGACAAGATTTGGAAACTGAGATGATCCAAGTAGCAGTTCAGGCTAAATCAGATAGTTAATGTATGCTGTAATTTATGGTTTGAATTTAGAGTAGATGTGTGAGAACTAACTCTGTTGTTAAAAGTCACGGTACTTTTCCCATCAGGAATTTTAGCTGAGCGAAGGAATTCATAATAAAATGCTAGCTTCATAGACATGCTTTTATAACACAAAGTTGGCGACTTAAATGGATTGCTACCATAATAATCACGCTCTGTTTTGGGACAGTTGTTATCCAAGTTATCTTCTGCTTGTTGGAGCTTCCTTGGACTTTTGTATTCTAAAGGCAGCAAGTATCTCTCAACTCCCAGGTCAAAGGAATTTCTCAGGGTTGTTCTGTTTTGTTTTGGTCGGGTGTTTTTTTGTGTGTTTTTTTTCCCTGTTGACAGTGAAGAGATTCTTCTCCTCCTTGGCAGGCAAAATCCTGCTCTGACTTATTTCCAGTCCTTAAGCATAGAGTGGTTTATAAGAAGGACAGGAATGGTTCATATAAAGATGAGTATATTCTCCAGTTGTTTGGGTTTTATATTGAGAAGAAAACACAGGCAGGCAGTTTTCCTTGGTTTAAGGCACTCCACGGGGCCTGTTCTGTCACTGAGCTTTTCCTTTTCCTAATGAGTACCTGTGGTTTTCCCACTGCTGCGGTTGGGCTGTGGAGGGCTGGAGGGAAGGTCCCTCAGAGATCAAGTGAGGGTGTTGGGAGCTCCTCACAGCTGGCTCCAGACTGGGCTGCGGTGATCATACCGTATATAGGATGATTATTCTGTCATTGCTTATTGTCATTTTTTGCTTAGATGTTTGTCGAAGATGACAGGAAGGAAACTGCTGTGGAGAAAGAGCAATTGCTGATTACCTTTGGGAGTGAAGACTAAGGGGGAAATGGCAAACCAGTGTGAAAATTATATTTCTTGTGAACAGGAATATTGTCACAAGAAATAGTGGTCCGTTACTTAGATTTATTCCTCCTCTACTTGTGTTCAGTGTTTTAATTTAAGATGCAATGATTAAAAAGAAAAACTAATGAATGTGGTTTTATGTATGTTACATTATTGCAAACTGTTGTGAAGTCCATATGATAAAACCTTAAGAACAGCTTTTGATATGAATTTGCAGTAGAGACTACAGTTTGTAAAACAAAACTTCTCAAAATTGATTTCAGGTTTTATAAAAAGCTTTCAGTTAATGTTAATGAAAGCTGTTTCTAAACAAACAACCCCAAACTTTGGCCAGGTCTCCACTGCAGAACGTCTTGCCAGCGAGCACTGTATCAGCCAGGGGTGTGGAAAAAAGTCATACATCCTCGCTGACATCGATACGTTGGCAAAACCCCAGGCGTGGATGCAGCTGTGCCGGCAGAAGAGAACTTTTATCAGCTTAGCTTATGTCGTTTGGGGAGGTAATGCAACTACGCCAGCAGAAAAACTCTTCTCTTGGCGTGCACTGTCAGCGTAGGAGGCTCTGCCAGCAGAGCTACAGCAGCGAGGCTCTGCACCCCGGACGAGCCTTTTGCAGCA